TATTGCTGACCATCACCATTACTTTTCTCTGTGACAGAATTACTTGAATTGGCTAACTTTGCTAGCAATAATTGCTTCATAATAGATTAAAATTAAAAGCCTGACCCAAAGCTTGTAGGTGTTATTTTTTCCCCCTCTTTATGTAATATTTTATTTGAGCATTTGTCCTGATTTTCCTGCCGGCTGGAGAGATTTAATTTATAAGTATTAAATAAGTTGTGTTGTAAGGAATTTCCTCCTTCCTTAACATGTGCCATTGTGGTGTAATTGGAAGCAAGTGTAGGTAGCAATCAAGAGGTTTTGAATTTGAATCCCATTGAGGACATTGCTTATTTTCCATATTTCCTGGTTTAAAAAAAATCTGATAACTCAACAGTGTAAAGAGATTATTTTGAATAATTTTTTTTTTACGTTATTCTACTTAGAAGTTGAGAGGAGACAAATTAGTCATCTGTCCTTATGGCTCCAGGAATTACAATTTAGAATAGTAGGAAGCTGTATCCATACATTTTGCAGTCTGTATGTGTGTGTGTAAAAACACAAAAGAGAGAAAAAGATTAATGCTCTAAAATTATGTGTAGTGTGCCTCAGTACTAGTAGCAACTAGTGCTTATATAAAAATAAATAGCCTTAACTTAATATTCCCAAGGCTCTAATCTTGCTGTGTTTGGAGTCTAATTTGCAAAACAGTGCAGTCTGCATTGCAGAGTATGTATATTATTAGATGCTAACATTTTGTATGGGTGAATTGAATTTTAATATATGATGAAATTATGAGGAAAAAGTATCCTTATTAATGTCAAGATAAAATTTAAAATGGAAATCTGAAATATTTATGTATTACAGCAAAACATTAAGAATATAATTGTGCTGTTTTCCATATTAATTGAACTGAATAACCTTATGGTGTCATTCCTATTTGAAGAGAGCTACAGAGCTTCATGATTACATTGTGTGCCTATAATAATATTTATGTTAAACATGTTTTATGGGAAGGACTTCAAAAAGCATCTAGGACACGGGTGAGTAACATGCGGCCCATTTAACATTTTTATGCGGCCCGCCAAGCATTTCTAAAATTGAATTTATTTCATTGACTTTCTCAATATATTGTTATAAAAATAATTATAATAAAATGGCAGTACAAACTAAACTGAAACATTTTTTTGTGACGAGTTACTCACTTGTCTTTTACATATTAGTAAATATATATCGGAAATTCTATTTGACATAATCGAAAAGTTCAAGCTTACTTTTATAAAATTGCTCTAACAGTCTGCAAAAAATAAAAAAATAATAATAAAATGCAGATGATATAGCAAATGGCAATTGTTTATCGCCATGGCTACCGATCGGTAAGCTATTTTTAGGTAGCCCCGAGAAAAAAGCGATTGATAGGCTTCGGCAAAAAAAAGCCGATTAATAGGCTATCGGTCGGGCAGGCGTTGCCTAAAAAAAGCCGATTAATAGGCTATCGGTCAGTAGGCGTTTCCGATAAAAAGCCGATTAATAGGCTACCGGTCGGTAATGTGTTAATTACGTTATCACAGTTACTTTCCTTTCAAGAAAAAAAGATGGCGAAATGATTAGCATTGGTGAAAAAGTGAGATACTACTGATATGAATTAATAGCATTAATTACCCATCATGATTTCTTTTCGTAAAATTGCTTTTGAATTCTCATTGCACTGAAATTTTTCCAGTGTTGAGTTTTCTAATGACATTGATAAACATTTTATTTCAGATTGGTTTTTCTAGCCTGAGTTCAGATACTCTTAATTATATTGGTGTACAAAATTAAAGGATAGCTTAAAATTCAACTTTACTTGTGGTGCATAAGAAGAAACGTTTTGTACTTTTATATAAACTGTAATATAGTTAGTTACATTACACTATTGATAAGTATCAGAATTGCAGAGTAAATGTTGAAAGCAAAAATATACACATGATTATGAAGAAGACATATCATGATATTTATTATCCTAGATAAAAAAAAAAAAGTTTTTTATGATGTGTAATCCTATAATTGCTGTGTTGAGAATACCGACTAATTTGTCAATCGAAATATTTTCATTTTCAATAACCTCTGGGTCACTTTCTTCTCTATCGGAAGCGAATTATAATGACGAGGAACTTGATTTAAATCATATCAAAGACGGAGTACATCGAGATGAAATACTACATTTAGTAAGGAATAATAAGCCAAATAAAATAAAAACATCTGCCCTGAAGACAAGGATAGTGCTGACTGATCAACTTCCAATTCATTGCGCGCCGCGGCGTGAAATTGATAAACAGATTTCGGATTTCGAAACATACTTTCGCTTTGTAGATCTTTTACATATTAGTAAATATATATCGGAAATTCTATTTGACATAATCGAAAGTTCAAGCTTACTTTTATAAAATTGCTCTAACAGTCTGCAACAAATAATAAGCCGGATCCAATTCGAAGATTAAGGAACAACGCAATCTGCAGCATTAACTGAATTAGATAATTTTGGCTTAGCTTATACCGTCTGTTACACATTAAACGCGCATGCGCACACACATATTTGCAGCCATAAATGTCTTACGCGCACTCGTAAACGCCTATGCGCATGCGTAATTTATGAAATAAAGAACAATTATGATCTAAAAGGTATCAAAATTTACAAAAAAAAAAAGCTTAATATTTATTTGTTTACTTTATTAAACATTTCTTTCAATGTAAGTTGTTTAAGAGTTGCTTTGTTTTATGTGCTAATGCCTTTCTCTTTAATTCTGTATAAACAGATATAATTCTTGTTCAGTTACAAAGTTCCGCTGTTCAAGTCCTGTAATTGCTGTGCCGAGAATACCGACTAACTTCTCAATTGAAATTTTTTTTTTCGTTTCACTAACCTCTCTGTCACTTTCTTCATGCCTTTATCCATTTTTGCAGCAATTCCACTTTTTGTTTGATGGACATCGAAACATACTTTTGCTTTGTGGATCCTTTGGCAGCTCCAGCATCGGAAATTCTATTTGACATAATCGAAAGTTCAAGCTTACTTTTATAAAATTGCTCTAACGGTCTGCAAAAAATAATAAGCCAGATCCAAATTGAAGATTAAGGAACAACGCAATCTGCAACATTAACTGAAATAGATAATTAGATAATTTTAGCTTATACCGTCTTTTATACATTAAACGTGCATGTGTAAACGTAATATGTGCATGCGCAGAAAGTTTGTAGCTTTGAGGTCCGGATTATAGATCATTCCAGATTATGGGTGTCCGAATTAATGACTTTTGACTGTACAATCATTATATGAGGCCCACCATGTATTTATATATTGTTTAGATTAGCAGTTCCCTACCCATGGCATGTATAGCACTTTGGTTACATACGTGTACTACAGATTGCAAGTTATGAGTACGAAAGGTTGGGAAGAAACGGCTTAGTTAAGCATGCTCAAATAAATTATCGGTAATGACAAAAAGCAATAAAGTATTGTGGTAAATGCTGATAAAAAAGCAAAATATTCAGAAAGTACACATTTTTCATTGAATAAAAGGCAATGTAATTGCAACGATTTCCGATATAACCCTTGCTAACCACAACATGTACTAAAGCAAAGTAATTAGTTGTAACTAGCCCCACCTATACCAGTTATATTGCTCAACTCCTTGCACATAACTTGTAGCCATTTTTTCTTCATTCAGTAACTTTTTCTTAGAGATCAAGTTTTTAATTTTTGTCTTTAGTATGAACAGGGCTTAATTTCAAAAATTAGAAGTACCGGAGCCCTATAGAAGATCTTCAGGAAAGAGGAACAAGAATAAATAAAGAATAAGATGATTAATAAAATCATTAACAATTAAAAAATTAAATAAGTCATTATTAAAATAACTAAATACTTAATGGTTAAAGTAATTAAATAATTAAAATTTAATAAAATGCAAAGAGATAAATTAGAATTTAATAAGCAATTTTCAATATAATTTTATTAGTAAAAATAAAGTTTTCAAGATCAAATTTCTACTGAAATTATTGTTCACTTACATAAAAGAAGTTCTTATTTAGGACTCCGGTGCGCTCCAGCTAAAATTATAAATTATCCCCAAAACTAAGAAGTACCGGAGCCAGCCTCCTGTGTGCTCCGGCACAATTTAAGTCCTCAGTATGAATAAAGTAATGTATTAATTAAACTTCAAACATAGTACTTTACTGCAGTATAACAGCATTTCAGGAGTGCTTATGTTTTTAAGTAATGGTGGAGACCTTATCAGTAGTCAACAAATTCATCAACCCACTCACTATCATTTATTTTTACAAATGTGTAAAGCGAAAATAACTATGATACTTCATATTTAATTAATTTTTACTATGAATAAGGTAATGTATTAATTAAACTTCAAATGTAGAATTTAATTGCAGTATAACAGCATTTTAAAGGATGGTGGAACCTTATTAGTAGTCAACAAATTCATCAACCGATTCGCTTTCTTTTATTTTCACAAATATTGAAATAGAAAATAACTATGATATGTCATGTAATGTTATGTCTTGATTTCAAAATATGTGTTTCTATTAAGCATATTTAAAATGAGTAATGTTAGTATTAGTTTGTGTTTTATTTTTATTCTTTTCATTCTATTCATTTTATGTTTTTGAAATAATATAGTAAAATATATTGGAAGAATACTGGGTATAATTATGAAATATTTTCAAGGGATACTTAATGATGACAAAATCTTATCATGGAGTATGTGAGAGCTACTGGTCTAGGTTGAAACTGGAATGTTGAAAGTCACTGTAATCTTACCAGCATGATCTAAAGTTTGGTTGTGCAAACATATTTTGTTAAACATATACTACAGTGATAATAGTTCCAAACTGTTTCACCATGTAAATAATTTTTATAGGATTTCTACGCTTTTTGAAAAAATAAATTATTTGTTCTAGCCAAATGCTTTGTTATTTTACTGATTTATTTTTGATTATGAAATGTACATTTACTTTGTTTTGATATTTAGATAATACGAGCTGTTCATATGTATCACCGTACTCAGTGCCAATGGAATATGCTTTTGGAACAAGTATTTCACTGGGAAGATGTTGCTTCTAATGAAGGCAGTAGAGATAGAATTTTTAAGAGCACGTTTAGACCATCTCGTTCTTTGATAATGAAATCAATTTGTTCACCGAAAATTGGTAAAAGAAAAATGTATCAGTTGTATTGCTTTGCTGAAATTCATGCTTTTTTTTTATTAAAATTTACAATTTTATTTAAAGTGGTATTTACAATATATTAGACTTTCTGTTAAATAGTATTGCTAAACTACAAATATCAGATCAAAATAATTTACATAACAAACAATGTAATATGGTATTCTTTCAGCTTACAATTGGTTTTAAATGTAAATATATTTTAAGTATAAAAAATGTACATTAATAATTTCAAAAGAAAGAAGTGTGGTAGGGGAAACGTAATATTTACAAAATATTTATATGTAATAAATGAGGTTTTTAACGTTATTCAGAAGATGAAAGGCTCCTTTCCTGCATTTTGCCATATACATTTCACAAGGTAGGCTGCTGTTCATATCAGTATAAAATGTTTCATTTTTAGGAGCAAAAGCTTTGTTTATATAAATTAAATAAAAAGGTTTAGCTTAATTGTAGCACTTTTGATGTTCACCAACCTCCAGTATTAAAGTTGTTGAAGATATGCTGTAGCAGATATCTTTGATATGCTTAACACACTAAGGGCCAAAAATATTCTATACTATGTTTAATTTAGGAATTACTTATTTTTATTTGATTATGTCTATATTTCATGGAGCTGCGTTTTAGACACATTTTTTTAAACCTTGATCAGTACTAACAGCTCAAAGGTATTCTTTTCTCTTGCTGACTTTCTGAGATGCTGAAGGAAAAAGGGATTGATTTTTTTCAAGAGAAAATTTTTATCTTTTTTTTTTTTTTTTTTCCCCTCCCATGGGTGTAGAAAAATCTCAAAACTTTTTATCAAGTCTGAAGTAATGTAACCTTGATTTTTTACAAATGGGGTTGTGTGTTCAAAGAGAGCACCTTTTCCTCCCCCTTTCTTACCAGTACTTTGTGGCTAAACAAATCTTTACACCTCCAAAAAGTGTCTCTTGTGACAAGTACAACTATGGAAGGCTTTTTGCAGTGTGCCTGTGTTTTTATTTAAGACAGCAGCTCTCAACCTTATTTGCTTCATGCAAACCTTTCACCATTACTAGATAATCATCCCCCCTCCTTTCAAAAACTCGAAAAATACATATGCATTTATTTAAATTTAGGTTCTTTTTTAATGTGTTTTACAAATTGAGCGAAAAAGAGTACATAAAATGTTTTTAAATACCAAAACTTTAATAAAAGTAGTTTTTTATATTCATAAACTAAAACTAAATATCTAACATGTAAATGAAAGGCTGACAGCATTACCCTAGTAAGAATAATCCTGGAATGGGCCATGGCCAAACAAATATTGCATTAGAAAATCTTGTGTGCTTCTGGTTTTGTTATCCACTTTTGGAAAGAATTCATTTGTGCTATGACCTGTTGTGATTTCGTCATACTCTTTTTTGTCAGATCTTTCGTATTTGCATATTTAGTATATTCTTCTGGCGAGACTTCAGAAATGGCACATCAGGGAATTTTCCTGTTTGCTTTTGTGCTGCCATCTTTACAAATGCGTCTGCAGCACCATTATTATAGTCCCTATTGTGGCCTTTTATCCATGACTGTAATTTTGTATTTTGCATGTTTTCTGAGTTTTGATTGATTTCAAACGCAATTTTAAAGCTGCTGATTGGGTTACAAAGTGATAATTTTGCTGCTTGGCTGTCTTATTCAATCTGATGTGGGGGATTCTCTGGTGATTTGCTATTTTCAATGCTGTTTTTATTGTCAAAGTTTGGCCTAATGAATGCTGTTATTGCTTTTTAGGTATCCTTGTTATTTTATACTATTGTTGAGGTTATTTTACGCAATGTTGTAGACTGCATATTCAACTTTTCCATCTATTTTGGAGCCATACATGAAAGCCGTTATTTTGTTGTTGATGGATTCTGCTGGTTTTTTTAAATTTTTTTTTTACATTTTGTCTGTATGCAGGACAGCAGGATGTCTGTTGTAGGAAGAGGGATGGCGTTTGTATTCTTAAGCTTTATAAAGATGGTCGTTAAAGAAAATTTTTTGTTCTAACTGCATGATTGTTGTATAAATAGCTTCATCTATTACTTGTACATGCAAAGTAGTTGTTCTTGCTAGGATGTTGAATGCAGGCACAAAGTAAACTGTCTTTGAATTGAGATTAGAATTCTCTTTTAGCATTCACTCATAGGTATGCTCCAAATGTTGGTGCTTTAAGTCACTATTTTGGTTATTACGGTGTTACATAAAATTTTCTTTATGTGTGGGTTTCAGCTGCAGTTGAATCCATGTATTAATCTTAGCTTGACTCTTGTATGGTAAGTGCATGCTTTGATCTTAAGATTGTGACTAAAATTTTGCTTTTGGTCAGTGTGAATTCCTAAATAATCATTTTTTTATTTTAATTCTTCCGTCATCAGTTTTCAGAGAGAGTTGCTTGGTGGTAGTCTGGCCCGATTTGTGTATTACCATAACCTGTGACTGGTAAAGAGGTTTTCAGTTTGTGCTTTTTATATATAATTTTGAATATTTCAATTTTGGTTCTGTAGTTTTCTTGGAGTATCGCTTCAAGTGGATATTCACAACAAATGTGATGTCTGCAAACCCACTAAGTTTTACTGGGATGGCCAGTCTTGATTAATTACTTTGTTGAAAGTACTGTTCCAGAAGTCTGCACTCATGCAGGACTCCTCGCAGCATTTATGTGTTTGCCGTCAGGAGATGAGAGTATTATTGTATAAGATAATGTTATTGCAATTGTTTTAAGATGTCATTTATGATGCTCAAAAGATTGTTAAGACAGCTGATGTTCCATAAGGCATGGAGAATAGAAGGGTACCTTAACAAATCGAAAGCATCTTGGAGGTCTAGGCTAAGTATTGCAGAGTTAATGGCATTTGTTGGGGTGAACTTGATTGGAATGTGTGGATGGTTGAAAATTGCTGTTTGAAGCTGTATTGATTACATTTAATGAATCCTTTATTATTGAAGTAAATTAATTAGATGTGCAATAATGCCTCTTTCAAATACCTTCCCAGGGCTCAGAGCAGATTAATCGTTTTGTATGATTTAGCGTTATCAGGTGGTTTATTTTTTTTTTTCAGAAGCAGCATTATCTGCCCTGTTTTCCAGGTAGTCAGGGAAAGCTTTGAACCATCAGCATTTATTCCAGAATTTGGTCATCTGTATGCAGCACTTGTTGTCCTCACTTCATTTGAGATTGTAACTCAAATTGTCCTTATCTGTATGCATTAGTCAATATCTTATTTTCTTTACATACTTCCACATTAGGCCTTCATATACGAAAATCAGTCAGCATAATGATTTTTTTCCCTTAGCGCACAATGAGGCTATGATTAAAGCTGAAAACTGATTATGGATCAGACAACTTGTGCTTTTGATTGAATTATCAAGAATTCTAAGAATGAAATTCATTTTAATTTGATATCACTTAGAAACAGTATTAAACATATCTGAATAGTTTTTAATGCTTTTCTGTATTTGTTTAGTCAAAGTACGTCAAGTTCTATCAAAACGTGCCATCTAAATTAAACATAATGTGTGTAAATTTATAATTTGCTGTATTTGGAGTCCTTGCATAATGTCTCCTGTTTGATGTTTCTGTACTGAATCTGCTGCTGCTATTTTTTGTTTATTGTAATGATATTGTAAGAAAAAGTGGTTAACATTAAAATAGGAAGAGTCTTTTTTTTATTGTTATGATATTTTAAGAAAAAAAATGGTTACCATTAAAACAGGAAGTCTTTTTGTTTAGACCTGCTGTCTTCTAATTTATGCATTAATTTACAAAAATTCCCATAGAATCAAGGAAAAAATGGATTTTATCTTTTGAAAAAAATCAGTGGATGGTAATATCATGAAATTATTTTCATTTTCGAGATTAATTCGAATTTTTACTTTGCATTATTCGTTTGACTGAGATTTAAAAAAGACTGAGACTTAAAGAAGTAGGGCAGGAAAAGAGAGTTAACGGACTTAATAATTACGATAACAGCATCAAGGGGAAAGAACTGACTTTGAGGAACTTGTTCTAAAGTGATAGACTGTACGTACATCGTACTATTAATAATTATTGTTCATTAAAAGATTAAATTATTATTCCTTAAATGTTGTAAATTGTTGTATTGAATTTATTTAAATTTGTAGAGAGGTAAATCTGTTTCTTTAAATAGTCAATTTGGTTTCAAAATGATATTTCTGATCTACAAAACACAAATTTTAATGTCTTCTTTTAGAGTTACTACAGTTCATTTTAAGATAAAATTTTATTAAGTTAATTGTGTATAAACAATTTCTTACAATGCTGTTCTTCGAAGTTAAAAAAACTATCTATTCAGGCTGGAAAATCATGTTTGCAATTTTTTTCATGGCTGTTTCATATATTAGTGATGCAAAATAACATTCATCAAGAGAGAATCTAAAAATTTCTTTGAAATACTTTTTTTAAAGTATTTTAAGTTGTTGAAATACTTGTTCTGTACATTATTCCCTTTCAAATGAGGTATGTGCATGTTTCGATCAAATTTTAATCAGCAGACTCCATTTCTTAAATTATAATTTATCTCCACATATTAAAAGGGCAGGCCATTGCTGGCATATATGAATTACTTTTGAGGAGTTCAAAGTAAACTGTTTTACTAAATTCTGTAACTGGAATTTACCTCTGTAATTTATAAGATGGTTTTTCTATTTGCTCCATTTTCATCTTCAGTTCTTATAATAAAATACTGCTAAATCTGAAATTACCAGGAATTTAGCCACGTTTTGTGGTAGCAAAAGTTCATCAATAGCTAATTCATTGACTTTTGAAAATGCCGAGTGATCTTTCTGAGTGATATTGTTCCAATAGTTGGTATAAGCATAATTAATGTAAAATAAGCAACATAGTTCAATTAAATACACATTACCTTTACAAATTTTACAACATAAATTATTTTTAATAATTTGAAATAGGATATCCAAATCAAATAGTCTATAACCACTATAATTAGGCTCTAAATTACTATTATCTGTTGGTGGAAAATAGTGTCACTGTTTAAGTGTTTTAAACAAAGAACTGACACCACACTTCTTATTCATTATAGCATTGTGTTTCCCTGAAACTTTCGTTTCTTGGATTGAGTATGAGAAGATCTTTTACGTTTTACATGTTCCTCACAGTTTTCTATAATTAGCAGGTGATAAAAATATTAAACAAAAATTGTAATGTTATAATAAAAACATCTTCAAAGAAATCAGAAGAAATTTATAAATCACAAAAGAGTTTGTAAACAATCACGCTTCACACTAATTCAAAGCTGGAGTAAGATTTCAACCCACAGCTTAGGAAAAAACTCAAGCAAAAATAAAAATTATAAAATAAGTTAAACTGTGCAAAAGATGTTTACAAAAAGTCCCTGTTGATAGTCGTTGAAACTCAAACGACAAACACGGACAGCTCATTTGCTGACGCCAGCCCTTTAAATCAATAAAATGGCACCTGACTAATTTTTTATATTTGGTCATAGGGAAAAAACTACTGCAGTTATATTGATGAGAATGGTGTCAAAATAAGCAGAAAAAAAAATTAGCTTTAAAATGACCCAAAGTTTGAAAAATCACTTTTTTTTTTTAGATTTTAAGGTGTATGAGGTACCTTGGCTTAGTAAAATAATGTTGCAAGTTTATTAATTTTATTTTAATAGTATTAATTAGAATGAGTTATTTTATTGCAGAGTGGTACTGGAACTGCATGGTTCGTAACTGGGTATTTCGTAGCTTGTGTGTTGTTTTAACAGTGTTCAGTGTTATTGTAGTCTGGTCAGAGATAACATTCTTCACCCGGAGTCCTACTCTGTCATTATTTGCTCTTTTTATCAACTCTGCAAAAGCAAGTTATAATTATGCTGTTATTGAAGTAAGTATGTTGTTCCCCCTTCCCCCTGTTAAATCATTCTCAGTCTACCCTGAAACATTTGATTCTAATTATTTATGATTATGTATTATGATATTGTAATGAAACATTTATTTAAAAATCAAACCATAAAGTACTTACATATGTACCTCATCTTACTATTAGGATCTTATCCTTTTTAACAGATAATGAATTTTACTTCAATATATTATACAATCAAAATTATTTCTTTATGAAAGACTCATGCATATAGTTTGCAGTAAATTTTAAGTTTGTCAGTATTCAGATGTTTTTATCTGAAGGCAATTATCTTTCCCCCCCCCCCTTACTTAAGCATATGATACTAGGGTAGTTTTTTGTACTGGCTCAGATCTGTACTCTAACACTGTGAGCTTCAGGGTATACCATACATGTGCCAGTTACCTAAATGTCATCTATCCATGCAGCTAGCATGACTGACCAGTCATCGGATACAACTCTAAATCCTGCATAATTTGTTGAATAGCCTGTGTCCCTGAGATCAGGTAGAAGGTCATCAAAGGCTTCAGGCCAGAGCTTATGTAAGTTTCCTTCAAGGAGCATTTTTGATGAACCTGCTTCTCTTACTTGAGCCCAAAGGTTTGATCCCCACAGTTGCTTTAAATGGTAGAAGTGGGTTAATAAATTTTATTGATTACCAAATTCTAATTATATATGTACTAGCCTACTGCCTGTCACTTGTTGCATTGATTGATATATTAACTTGCATTTGTTGGAAATTTTCTTATTACCTGTTTCTTGAAGTTCATGTAGTTTAGGGAAAGAAAAATGAACTAGCTAGAAATTGAAAGTGAGAATAAAGTTTCATTGTGTCTCTTTATTCTTTTATTCATTTTTGGTGTGCAGAATGGGTAAAGTTGCATAGTAATGCAGTACTGTTTTTTGTTGCAGTGCTTTGTATATCAACTTTTGTGAAGATTAACAGAGTGCAACAAAGTTTAATGAGAGATATTTTTCACATAACTTCTTGTGTCATGAAATTTAAGAGTCTTAATGATAATGCTGTAGAAGTTCTGTTTGTGTATCATAATTTATTTCTTATGTTGATGCAAAGGGAAAAAATTAAATCTTTAAAAAAACTTAAATATGTTAAACTACAGTCAAAGTAAGTATGTGAAAATGTGCATTTAAGTGTTTATGAAATGTGCAATTAAGTGCTACTTTTCATAGAAATATCACTTTCTTGAAGAAAACTTTGTATATGTTTCTGTTGTACGTGGGGTAAACAATTATGCTTCTATGTAATTTTTTTTTACTGGAACTTTACCTCCAGGTAAAATTATTAGTGTGTAGAAGTTTAATTGCTCAGATGATATACTGGTTCTATGGGGAAACATGTAGTTTATGTAAACATTGAAATAAAATGGGAGATTCTTTTTTTATGGGCAAAATCTTTGGTAAAATGTTAATAATGTGAATATCTTTTTAATGGAGGAATCAATTAGGAATAATAAATGTAAAATGTATTAGGCACATCCAAAAAACTGTTTTCTACACTAACAATAAATGGCAGGCAATGCTGTGTGAAAGGCGAATGTGCATGCCCAAATGTTTTAGGAGCCACCCAGATGGTATAGTAATTATGGGTGTTTGACTGCGATATCAAAGGGCCCGGGTTTGAATCCCGGAGAAAGCATGGATGTATAATTATCTGTTTATCTGTCCCTTCATAGGAGATAACAGTGGCCGCATATTTGGTGCCTCCACAATAAAATGGCAACCACTTTTGGCCTTAGTAGTGGCCAATTCTGTTATAGGCAAGTGCCCGCCATTGGGGAAAAAGAGGTTTTTAGGTTGTGGATGTTGCATGCAACAGTTGCTGCTTGTCAGTTGCTGAAATTTAGCAAGTAGCACCATATCACCACTGTTATATTTTGCAGTATTTTTTATTCTTTATTAATAGAATAGGAACTGCATTCTTTTACTAATGTGTGTTTCTATAAGAGTAGATTTATGTATAAATTTTGTTCAGTGAAATTGAGAGTTCATGGTTGAAAGGCCTTTGTTAGAATTTTTCCTTAGTTAACATCAAACTTCTGTAGATGCGACTTAAAAGATATGTCACTTCTTCTTATCAGATCATATATTCAAAGTCCCAGATCAAATTAATGCCTTGTCTTATTCACCCATCATTATTTAAGCGGTAAAATCTGATGCCATGGTGTTACAAGGTGAATTGAAAAATTAGAGGATAATCTTCAAAATTTAATTTGAAGTGCATTTGTGTGTAAAATTTTACAAAAATGCTAAGTGTGAAATGCTTTATCATATAATATTGAGAAGGTGAATCATATAAAATTATAAGCAAATTATATAAAATGTGAAATGTTACAAAGTGTTAGCTATGTGTGCAATAGAAGAGTTGGGCTAAAATACTGATAACGGTAGTAAATATATTCACAGTGAGTGAAAGGTTGTTAGGTATTTGAATATTTCCAGATGGAAGCATTTAAATTCCAAAAAAATGGTGGGTGATTGGAAGCAGAAAGATAAACAGAATCAGTAAGGATAAAGAGCAAATTTGCATGTCTTTTATCTTCTCCAAGTTGTATATAAATAATTTATTGAGACTGGAAGCATCTCATTACTTATGATGAGCTTGTCCTCTTGCAACATACTGAAGGTAATATTTATGATTTCACTCACAAAGGGAAAAATGTATTCATAAAAGTTTGCTTAGTGTGTTACATTTGCAGGGATGTGTATAATGCTATTTTCTAAGGTTGGTCAAAAGAGGCCTTACTGCCTGTTGTTAGTGTTCATTATATTTCATCTACAAGGGTTGCAGTTTTCAAAATGTAATGAGCATGCCAACTGCCGTTTTACAAAAGGCAGTCAATTGCTGTTAAGAGTAAGTCTAGTGTTTAATTATAGAACTCATTGATATGTATATTTATCTGTAAGCAATCAGAGATATTTTCCTAGTGACATCCAAGAAAGGCATTAATATAAAAATAGGAGCCTCTTCATTTTGAGTGAAATGATGCCAAATGATCCCAAAATCTTTCAAGATGTTTTCTTAAATGCATAGAAATGAGATCAAGGTTGTAAGTAAAATTTTATACAGGAGCTAATGGTGATGAATTCTGCTCAATGGATGCTATTGCATTATCACAACAAGCAGTACTTACCTCTGAGTATATGGGCAGTGAGAATACTCAGATAATGGACTGGCCTACCTACTCCCCTGACTTATATTTAATTGAATGTGTTAGATGTAATTAAGGTTTCTGTGTATTCAGAATTCTATCCTTATCATAGGATCCTTAAGGAGTAACATTTTTTACTACATTAAATCTTTTTAAAACTATAAGCAGCATGAGCTTTCATTGCTAAATTGATGTTTGTGATTTGTCATACCCCTTTTTAAACTTGTTTTGAATTTTTATGTACCTCTGTATTTGTACTCATATTTAATATAGTTTTGCTGCTTTTCATCTTGCATTCAAAAACTTACTAAATTTTAAATTCAATATAATAATTTTACATACCATGAGTTATGAAATTATGAAGATTATACAGAGATGCCAGGTTTGTATCTGGAAGACAATGAAAGTTATAGACTTTTTTAAATCATTTATCCTTTACTTTTCTGTTCTATTGTGTTAATTATTCACTTAATCATAATTAATTTCAAGGATTCTTTTTCTGTATATTTGTATTGTATTGGTTTAGTGATTATTACTACTTTCATGAACCTATATTTTTAAGTTTTTTTTGGGGGGGGGTTAAGTTCTTAGTAGTTCTTCAGTAAAGATATTATTGTTAAATTTGTCATTTGCCTTTTTGCTATCTTACTGACAAAGTTATTTCTTTATAGATAATTTCTGTGGCAACTATTGCATATTTATGCATTTGTGCTTATTACACTGTTTTTAGAATTCGAATATTGAATTACTATTATTTAGCTCCTCACCATCAAACAAATGAATACAGCTTAATATTTTGTGGAATGTAAGTATAAATTTCTGCAGTTTTAGAGAGCAATATTAATGTCTTTTTATTGGGAATGCTTCTTCCTCCCATTCTAGCAGTACTTAATTAATAACATTTTATATCTTGTATTTTTGTTTTAGAGGGAATATATCTGAAACAATGAATTTTGATACTTTGAATTTTGATACAGCAGTGCTTTAGTCGTACTTGGCAAATGATTTATTTTGCATTCATCTCTGGTTTAGCTGTTTTTTCGTGGATCTTTCTATTTTTCTGTTTAAAAAACTGTCTTTGTCTTAAATTACTTTAATGGCTTGAATCTGTTATAGAAGCTGCCTGGGCCTGTTGATTGAAATGTCCATTGGCCATTTATTTTTGCATTGCTATCTCTTTGTCTATTTTTTAGTCATGTTTGTGTTGTTTGTGTTTGTCATGTTTGTGTTGGAAACAAACGCTTAAAAGCTATTTCTCTATTACTAGCATTTTTATGCATCAACAATACAATATTATCTTTAATGGAAGCAAAGCTAACTAGAAAGCACACACAAAAGGAAAAAGTATGCTTTTGTGCAGAAATGTATATTCACCTAAGGATAAAAAAAGTCCATTAAAATTGTTTCTAGATAAAAGGAATGTAAATAGATAACTAAGTTTTTTTTTTTATTGTTATTATTTGTTCAGCCATGTACATTTTCTTTCCATTTAAGATTAGATCAGACTAAAGTCTGCCAATGAATTTAATTTGCAGCAAAAAACTCATTTAATTGTTAGTTCATTTATAGTTACAAATGAACAAACAAACAACCTACAAAAAACATTTTTTTTTATTCAGAGTTTGACTCCTAGTCTTCAAAACATTTTTAGGGAAACTCTGCTATTTAACTCTCACCGATCAGTCTTTTATTTTAATTCATAAGAAATTCAAGCACAGTGAAAAACTGTAGCTAATATGCCATTTTGATTGGATATTATATCTCCATTCTTCCTATACTATGATGTCCAGAATCTGTATATACAAGGATCAGTTTAGGATGTGTACTAGCTCCAAAGGCCACACAGTATATTTTGTTTCAGCCAGTGTTTTGAAATTCCATCGTGAGATAATGAATACCTACTTTTTTAAATGAATATTTTAAGTAGTCTTTGTAGAACAGTTATGCAGATAGGCCGCACAGATGGTATAGTGCAGAGGTGGCAAACCTTTTTACCATGGGAGGCCACATTTAAATTAGGCAGTGATAAAGGAAGCCACCTAAGTTGATATACCTATAAATGCAACTTTTGTGAAATTATTATAGTTTTTGTATAGTTTATCACTTTATTGCATTATACAGAAATAAAGCAAAAAAAAAAAAAAAAAAAAAAAAAAAAATCAAGTCATTTATTAAAATAAAAATATACAATGTAAAATATTTTTGTATTCACATAAGGCTTCAGTAATTTTTTAATAAACAACTACATATATTTAAATACTGTTTCAAATAAAAATAATAAAGTAGAAGTATATTTCAATAAATTTATTACATTATGAAGAAAAACAGCAGAAAAGTAATAATATTAAGTTATAAAAATCAAACATAGAGACAGTATGTAAAATACTGTTAAAATCCGATGGAAAATTTAATTGAAATATTTGCATTTGTTTTTTGCCTGAAAATAATTGAATATTTGGCTCAAGTTTCTTAACACACAGCCTTAGTAGATCCTGTAAATGAACATCTGTAATTTGTGTTCTTAAACTAGTTTTAATTTTTGTAATGAGAGAAAATGTTTAATCGCAGCAGTAAGTGCACACACTTTACAGAGCTGTGAAATTTGTAGAAACAGCTGCCACCTCTGGCAGCTAAAATGGCTATGGAGTTAAACTGGGCTTGGATGACAGAAATGGGAAATTCATTCATTCCATGCTGCTTCAAGTCTATGTCACACTTCATCAACCGTATTAGCAGGAGAGGGGTGGGGGCCAGTGTCTCTGCAAACCATTATCAGATGCTTTCAATGGGTGACAGATCTGGGGACCGGATATGTCTGTCATCTATGGTGTAGTCATGGGACTGTGTTGAGATCCTGCCTGCCATTCACTATGACCCTCAGCAATCTATTGATTCCATATTTGCATGACAGTGCTTGGATGTCGACCAGTGCAACCGGCGATATCACGGAACGATAATCTACACTTTTGATAGGCAACGATCCTGCCTTTATCAAATTTCAAATTGATAATTCTTTATAAGTATTGCTGGTAAGCATTTTCTCTTCTTATTCGAGGCATAGCATGATGTTCTGAGCAAACTCCAACCTTACAAAGCACTTTCCGAATCAGAAATCCGCTACACAACTTCTCATTTATGTAGTGTTTCAGATGCCGTTTCTCCCTCCTGCGTAATTTACTAATCATTTGCATATCCCAACTTCTTCCTTTCATGTCATTTTGATATTCCTCAGATCTTTCCTTCCTGTTGTTGCAGTTTTAATGGTCAGCAGTGTACTTCAAAGAAGTTGATATATAATTCAAATATACAAAACAGGAAAGAAAATGATGTGAACGCTATTGTAGGCATGGATATTCAACAGCATTTTCCCAGATTTCTATGGAATCCTTTTTAGCATCAAAAAGAGATTTGAGGCTACTATCTTCCTGCAACTCGAGTAACTCCATCTGTAGTTTCATAGGAATTTTGGCTATATCTACTAAATGTGGTTTAAATGTCAGTTTCATAGCCAAAGTGTGCTCATCAAAATCTGAAAATCTTTCAGATTATACTATTATATTACTTCTATTAAAAAATCCAAGACACCTGCATATTTGTTAAATGTTTTATTGTTACATTTTTGCTCATTCAAAAGTGTTGCTACTAGGTAAGTATTCTGCAGATATATCCGAGCAAGAGAACAATGTTTTGAAAAATGTTAATTTTCTTCGAAAGGCTTGGATCTTTTGTCACATTTCATATGTGTGCTTCGTTTTACCTTGCTAGAAAATATTTAAATTGTTTTGTTTTGTCATAATATCGGACAAAAATGAAACCAGTGTGCATTGGACAGATATAAAGTGGCCTTTTTAAAAATCTATGCAAACAATAAGACAATCCTAGAATACTTGAAATAATTTAATATAAAATCTGCTGTGTAGAGCATTGCAAATTCATGAGAGGAAAGGTATACAGATATTTTTCAAAATGCTTGTTTTATAATTTCTATGTGTAATCTTACTAGATTTAAATTGATTATCTAAAATCAGGCATCTTAAAAATGTCCGCACGATTCAGTATATCGGACTTTGCATTGTATTATGTCTGCATAAAATAACTTGAAATGGTATATTATTCCATTATTTTTCTCCACTGCTGAGTAGTATGCATGGAGTATTCATAACGGTTAAAATTTGATACTTGTTTGTAATTTATTTGTAATTTGAATAAAATATGCATATTTTTATCTTGATTCAAAATTGAAAATGTACTGCTTTGATCCTATGCATATTGCTTTTAATTAAAACCTAAATCCTTCCCCCTTTTTTAATGGTGGTGCATTTTTATTAAAACCATTCTTGCAGTGAGAATGAATATCAGGAGTAATGATGTGTTAGGAAACTTAGGAATATGTTAGGAACTTAGAAATGTGTTAGCAATCTATATATCAGGAGTAATGATGTATTAGGAAAAAATGTTGTGTTATTGTAATGTAGTAAGAAAAGATTATAGAGATTAATATTTATTTGTAAAATATTGTTTTGTCAATTATGGAAAAAAATTTGACTCATAGTTTTATTCTGTTCTAATAACAGGTTACTTTGTCGTTTAACACCACCTCTTTGTCTCAACTTCTTGGGTCTAATTCATCTTGACAGCCATGTTACAAAAAATTCTGGTATTGAAGAAACAGCATACACCAAGGTGAGCTTTCTTTCACATGTAAATTTTGGTAAATGTAGTTTTTTATATAATTTATCTTAAATTCATTATTATAATGCAAAATGTATGAAATAATTAAAAACTGATAAAAAGATGCAAAGTTTACTCCTAGAATTTAAAGTATAATAGACCAACTTACTTTTTATGTTATGTGCAATCATAGAAACAAATTGAGCTGAAATGCAAATCACATAGTAGGTTCATTTTCTATCTCTTAATTTTAAATTTGCTTTTACTTGGGCTTTACCCTTTATCTTTATGGTAATTTTTAGTTATTTCAACCCTGAAAATTTGTCTTTTTAGCTGTTCTCATGTTTTTAAGTTTCGAAGCATGTTGAGGATAAAGTTGTTTGTTATGATATCTAGTTAAGTTAATAAGCATTAAGAATACAACATTTGCATGTGGATTGTAAATTTTATCTTTTTATTCAGCGGTTTCAACTTTAGAACAGCAAAAAGCAAAGCATGAAATTTATGAAAGTTATAGTTATTGGTTACAAGAATACAAAAAAAAAAAAAAAAAAAAAAAAATGCGAGCTACAAAATGCAAAATAAGTTCTTACAGAGAGAGAATAGTCAGAGAGTCTCATTGTAGTCAGACAGGCAGGGGTTCTGCTAGCCGAAACATTCCAACCAGTGTTGAAACATCATTTCAGATCTAAGTACAATTTACAAATGAAATTATCATAAGAATTATGCCAAAAAAAAAAGCACTAAAATATTCTCAAGAAATATAATATGAAATTATGAAAATGAAACAAAATTTTTCTCAAAATAGATGCTCAGAAGACTTGGGAATACAATTCAGTAACTTACTTGTATTTAAAGCAGAGTACAAAGTCATAATGTTTTGCGAAAATAATTAGGCATTGATAGCAGGGTTGCCACGCTACCTGGAAAACCGGAAAAAGTCGGGGAATTCGAAAATTGACCAAAAAAGTCAGGGAATTTAAATATTATAGTCAAAATCTAGAAAAGTCAGGGAATGTCATATGGCGATCCCCCAAAAAGCGAGTTTTGAACCAATGTTGGCAGCGATGACTTTATTGGCGAATTATGTATCGAATGAGCGTCATTCGGGCAGCTGGCGTAGAGCCAATTTTCGCAGCTCCAATCAGATTTGTCTTTTAGAAAGGCAAAGCAAGTTTCCGGCAAGTTTGGTTTCCAGTAACCTCGAGAATCCTAAGACTCGCATGTGCAGGTTATGTTGAACTACAGAAAATACCTTCCCCTTCTCGTATACAATAAAATCAGTTTCATCCTGATATACAGTACCATGGAAGCTAGAATAGCTCCCAAGTACTCTGTTCTAATGTAAGAAAGTGCATGTAAAGAAAGAAAGGTTCCATAGATGTAATGTAAATCAGTTTGCTATAGTGCTGCTAGAAAGCAGAGGGAAAAACCCGCCAAGGGATTTGGCCACGGAACCTGATGGCGAGAATTCTCCCTCCACGATGTGTACAGGGAATTGTGGAGCATGTGTTAAGAAGAAACATTCTTTGATTTTCACGAAAATTTATACTCAGATTTTCATACTTTTTTGCTCAAAAGAGCTAATCTATTAATTAATTTATCGCACAAAAATATTTCTTTTCCTTTAAAGTTTAAGTAAATTAAAACGATACTCATTTTATGTACTCTTGATAAACTTGACCTTCGAATTTCGCGAGCTTCGGTGACAGATATTTCACGCATATGGAGCTGTTTCTCTCTACGTTGGGACGGAGCCATTCCTGTTCCAGAGAAGTTTTTTTTTTATCTTAACAATACATATTTTTTTATTCTAACCTCCATGTAAAGTACACATGGGATTTGGCGACGTTATGATGGGCAGTAACAACAGTTACCTCTTTCTGTCTCTTAAGTCTCTGTTTAAGAAGGTAAACCGATCATTTTGGAGTTGGCGGCAGTTTTAAAAAATTGTACAAAGGCCGTAGCGAAGACTAGGATTTTACAGCAAAATCTTTTGAATTTTTTTTTTTCATTTTAATAAATGCCTTATTTTTCATTTTGCAGTAAAATAAAAAAAATAATAATCAGTCATCTAGTCTAAGGTTTAATATTCGCCAAAATAGCATTGATTATTGTAATTCAATTTTTAAGTAATTAATTCATTTTAATGTTACTTATATCATTCAATGTTCTACTTTCCTCTAAATTTATTTATTATTAGTTAATAATACTTTCAAATTTCAGGCAAATTTCTCTGGCATAATTCTGAAACTAAATCTAGCAGTATTATGACGTACTATCATGAAATTTAATGCACATATTTTTGTTGATATATGCTGCTAAATAAATATAAAATACCTGAATTTATTTTAAAATATCATTAAATAGATTTCTTTTTTTCGTTTAGCTGCAGAATTTCTGCAAAAAAACTCATTTTTTAATTCAGATTGGGCAGATTCTAATCTCATTCTTCAGTTGAGAAAACAACTCCTATTATAGCTATAATAGTAATGCTTTCAGGATTATATATATAATAAGTCATATGCAATTGGCAAATTTTTGTGTTTTCAAATGGTACCATAATTAATTTACCTCTCAGCGCAGCCAACGCGCACTATGCGGATAGACTGGAATTTTCTCAAAACACACCTGCAAAACCTGGAAAAGTTGGGGAATTTCATTCTCCCTTTAAGTGGCAACTCTGTGATAGGCAAAGCACTAAGTTTGTTAATTAGCCTTTTGGAAACTCCATTTGTAGTTTTGAGAATCACAACATGCATAATATTATCTGCACGAGGGAAAACTTCCAAAAGTCTTCCTAATTTCCATCTTAGAGGGGGTAAATTGACATCCTTTATAATAACTCAATCACTGATCTTTAAATTAGGCAGCACTTGAGACCATTTTGAAGGTCATTGTAAATTAGAAACATATTCATTGGACCATCTTTTCCAAAAATTTTGAAGCATTTTCTAAACAAGCTTCATTATACTTTTAAGTTTAAAAAAATGATGAAACCTCATTAAGGACTGGAATTAATGAAGCGATTGTTCTAATTGAATAAGGAAACACTTTTGTGTTGTTCTATTAAGAAAAGTTTTGAAAACAGGAAGTTGATAGAGAATGTGATATTATTTGAACTGAGACATTGATTTTCTGTCCACCATAAATCATGAGTAGACAGTTCTGAACGTTCTTGATGTGCAATCAGTGAGATTCTCTTTTCCTCATATGAGATTACGCTACAATAGTGGTAGAACTGATTGAATTTCTGAAATGCGGTTGGCCACAAAGGTTTATCAGCATGTGGGTTCCGATTGTATTCATGACATGAATCATTGTATCACACAATGCATAAATATCATCGACATGAATTTGTAAGAAATTTCTGCACAGCTTGAACCAAATGCAGTAATACAGCATCAGAGCAGAGTTCTAAACAAGGAATAGAAATTACTTTCAGGGTAGCTACCTGAGTCTTTAATATTAGTAGCTGCACAGAAACTGAAAAATTATTTGAAGACTTTAAATAAATGACTGCAGAGTAAGTTTTTGCTGATGTGTCACAGAAGCAATTATGTTTTACATTTGTAGCTTTGGACAAAGATACTCTTCTAGGAATGCGAATGCATTTAAGATTTGCATTGTCTTCACAACTATTAAAAACAGTAGATTTCCATCTTTCACAGTAGATTTTCCATCTTTGATTGATTTCATTTGGTTAGAGATCATCCCATGAGATTTGTAATTTTCCTATATCTTGAAGCAAGATTTTTGCTGCAAATATGAAGGATGCTAACCAGTCAAGTGGATCAAAGATCTTTTTAAATAGAAGGCAAAATTATTCTTTTAGTAGAATGTTTATTGTTTTTGAGATTTTCTTTTAGTAGAATAAGAAGAAGTAGAATTTTAGAAGTCATAAGTAAACACATCTTACATTGGATACTATTCTGAACCTAATAACTTTATTGATTTCCTATCAACAGTTGCACATGCAGAATTAGTAATCTGAGCTTTTAATGCAGTTTCTAAAATCGATTGAATATTTGCATACCATTTATGCAGTTGAAAACCACCCTTTTATAAAAGTTCACTCAGTTGTGAAATTAAGTCTACTGCATTCTGTATTGTGTCTGAACTAACAAAATTATCTCAGTTGTGTTTAAGACTTCAGCCCCTTTATCAGTTGTTAGTTGTTTGAGTACAAAAGTAGCCAAGACGCTGAAGTAGTGCCGTACTTAAATGTACACAACCTGTAAGTTTTAATGGGCTTCAATAGATCATCTCTCCACAATATATTTGGTAATCACGATCTTCATCATGAATTTGAACTTGTCGATGCATTTTCATTAAGTCACTAGTATTGGCTATGGGATAGCATCAAAACCACAAAAGAATAGTAAATAAGTCATCTGGTATCTTGAAACCTTTCATAAGTGTGTCATTAAGCGATATCTTAGAAATAGTTTTGGCATTAGCATTTGAGATGATGCATAGTTTTGTGGTAAGACTCAATTCCTTTAGCACATGATGATGAAGTACATTAAAATGCTTATTTACTTTATCTAGATTATCATCATGGATGATTCTTCCATGTGTCCATGTGAAAATATTCGGACATGAATCTTTATATTGTTGATGTACTTCAGAAGTTTTTAAGAATTTTTATTTAAAGTTTAAAAGTTCTTAGTAAAAAAATCAGAGGAAACATGATTTTAATGCAGTTTTACATTAGACAAAATATATGTACAGATTAAAGTGTGTATTTCAAGAATCAGTAAAGTGCCGCCATTTATGGGACTCAAAAAGAATACATTATGATCTGAATATGTGAAGTCAATTCAATTAACCACAATAGAAGCTGGGAGCTTTTAAAGGAAGCCCAAGTCAAGTTGACTGTGTTCTGTAGAAATGAAATTAACATGTGCGAGATGGGCTTATTTGTTCCTAGTGATAAAAATGTAGCTCACCTGTAGCATAAACAGCCAGAATGTCTTTAACGAAATGAAGTCAGTTTGCTCACTGAAAGGTTAATACTGCAGCTCTGTCATATTTCTTGATAAAACCAGGAAACTCCCCTTTTTTCATTGTGACATTCATTTTCGAATGTTATTTGAAATGTGTTGTTAGTTAAGTATGAAAGGCAGAAAAAATGCTATGAAAAAAAAATTTAATGACATATTTTTTTAAAAAATGTAGAGCAGCCATTGTGTCATCTCATAAGAGAACTAAGTTGATGTAAATACTATTTTGCTTATGTTATTTTGGAGTTATTCTGTGGAATGATTTTCCTTTCTACTGATATTTCTTAATTTGTATCAAGTTTTGTATGGAGTTTGTAAATGGACACTACTAAATTTATCCACATAATTCTGTGCTTCTTAACTGTTAATTTTATTTTCATAGTGTTTGAAAGCATTTTTTTGAATAAAATTTTTCTTCTTTATTTGGGTTTACATAAGTATAAATTTATTTTAAAAAAATAGCTCAAAAACATTTTTTTCATTAGTCTAAATTTTTTATAAAAATTCCTTTTGAAGTCATATCATTTGCTGTGAAAAACCACTTGGCTTTTCACATTTCAGAGTTAGCAGGTGGGTTATGATTTAGTAGATTTTTAATTTATCTGAACCTATTAGATTCTAGAACCTTTTTAATTGAAAGCAGCAGGTTCTGCATTTCCTTAAATTTCTTTTAAAAATTCTGGTTAATATTATTAGATTCTGCATGTTATATGCCTATGGTAATAATCTTTTAGTCATACGCTTTCCATCATAATTTCTGGTAACATTTTTCATATCTTTAGAACTTTTTAAAGGTGTTTGTTTAAAAATAATTATATAGTTTGTGTTATGTTATTTTAAATATGAGAAGTTGTTTTTGTTATCTCTCCAGATCTGTTTTCAAAAATATGCTGGAATTTTCTAATACAATTTTTGCATTATTTCCAGATAATGGGTCACATGGATGTTATTCCAATTATATCTGATGGCTTCAATATCTATTTCCCTATTTTAATTTTCTTTGTGTGTTTAGCAACATATTTCAATATCTGTAGCAGAATTTTACATTGTATTGGATTTGAACAGTTTGTTGGAGATGATGAAATGACTTCTGACTTAATTGAGGAAGGCAGAGAGCTCATCAGAAGAGGTACGTAAGCTGTATATTTATAAATATATTTAATTATTAATCTTCTATTAATGATTATCTCTTTAGAAAGGAAGTGTAAATGCTATCACAAATTTAAATTAGGAAATGTTAATAAATAAGAAGACTGTGTTAAAACTATAGAAAACTTGTAATAAACTTAAAAGAGGTTTAAAATTTGTAATTGTGTGCATCAAAAATGTACAAATGTGTAAATTAAAATTATAACTTAAATTAGCAAATAGCCCTTTGATTCTTCATTTTAATTTGGGTATTTCTCCTCTCTATTCTAAAAATAGTAATTACTTATAATCACTTTTCCTGGATTGCATCATTTCTAGATTAATCTGTTTCATGCCATCGTACATAATACTACAATGCATTACTCCAATCAGATTTGAGATTTCAGTTGAAACCTAAACTTTTTGCACTCTCCTCGTCCACTCTTTTTTCTGAATGCATTATATTCAGCTTCCGCCTTGCATCTGCTAACTTGCTGATGTGCTGTCTTAAAAAACAATAATCTTTACAAGTCTATCAGTAGCAGTATGAAAATTCTGTAAGAACAGTTGCTGAAAAACTCATTTAATTTCGTGTTAATGAAAAATGTGTCAACCATGAATAAAATGAGATGTGTGATAAGTTTCTACTTCTTTATGCATCCATCTACTATTCCATCCTCTGTCCCAAGCTACTACAATAAAATTAAACCAGTCCAATATATTCAATAAACCATTGTAAAGTTATTACATTTATGTATGTACAGTACAAAGTCCGAAATCCGGACTCGTCGGGACTTTGGCAATTCCAGATTTGGGATTTTTCCAGATATTAGATCATCAGTTTAAATCTAGTAAGATGGCATGTAGAAATTATAAAATTAAAAATATGAAATCGTGATTTATGAAATAATGAAGTATTTATGATCTAGAGGGTATCAACATTTACAAAAAAAAAAAAAAAAAAAAAAACTTAATATTTATTTCTTTACCTTATTAAGCATTTCTTTCAATGTAAGTTGTTTAAGTTGCTTCACTTTTTTTTTTCTCTAATACTTTCTCTTTAATTCTGTAGACAGACATAATCTCTTATTCCATTACATTGTTGATGTTCTGTAACTGCTGTGTCAAGAATTCTGACTAACGTGTCAGTCAAATTTTTTTTTTTGTTTTCAGTAACTTCTCTGTCACTTTAATCACCATCGGTACAAGTATTTTCTGGATCTAGAACCATGCTACAAATTTCGCCATTCATTAATTAATTGATGATTTAGAAGCATTGTCATCAAAATGAAAAACTTCTTTTATTACCGCTTCTCCACATTTCTTTACAAAATCCTTTAATTGGAAAATTTCACCTTTGTTTTGCGACATCTGAAAACCTTTAAAATTGAGGACCGGCACTAGCTATCTTACCGCTTGATGCAGTCTCTGTGTGTCCTAAACTCTGTGATCTGGTGCAGCCATAATAGTCCTGGCACTGGTTCTGTGTTTATGCGAATAAGAAATCAGTTATTCTTAAATTCAATAGCTCTAAATGTAATCTTTGGGTCTATGAGTATCATCAACAATCTATTTTTAGCATATGGAAATAAATTTTTGTTACATTTTTCCTCGTCAACATTTTTTAGCACATTTAACTTAAATCTGTAATTATCGCCAAGCGTAATGTCAACAAAAAATGTTACCATATTCCTTTATTATTCAATTACTATTATAAAAAAATTGTTTAGGTGTCGCTACATGAGTCATTATTCAAGTTGCCGTGTGTTGATAAACATGCAGTGATGAAAGGAAAGTATAATAATGATTTACCAGATTGGCGTCAGATCAACGATGTACCTATGTGGAATGTTTTGGTTTGAGATGTGTGCCAAGCAAATATGTAGCAACAGAGCCAAGTTACTGATCATACAAATTTATGCTAACATTATTGTTTTTTCAATAATAAGGTATTTTATTTAGTGTTGAAGTTAAGAATCGGGATTCTCCAGATGTTTTATTATGCACGGAGGGGAGAATCAAATGCGCAAGTGTAAAACCTGTGAGAAAAATGTTGGTGGTGGTTTTAAGGTCTGGATTTTGGATCATTCTGGATATTGGACGTAATTCTCATGAGAGGGTAGTTTTTTGGTAAGGGGAAAAAATAGTGAAAATTACATTGACAGAGAGTGCCGCACAGATGCAGTAACAAGAAATATGTAAATCGGAGGCCTATAAATTGCCTGTTTTACCATTAACAGCTCATTTCTGATTTTTCCTCATGCTTGCTCGTACATAAAGTTTTAATTGTGATGCTGATATTAGTGGATGAAACATTATTAGTGAAGTTGGTTTACCTCAGCCAAGAAACCGCCGACTGAAGCTTTATGAAAGTTTCGGACATAGAAGGGATAGAACAGTGGTTCAAGTGATTGAGTGATACTTTCAATTACTGAAGCATAATCTCTTTGGCACAGTCATGCAAGCACAGGGAACCTCCACATATCACAACCAAAGTGAAGATTTTCCTAAGGAGAACTTTCATCAAAGTGAAATTAATTAGCTATCAAATTAGAAATGAGTTGCCCACATATTTGCCGGATTTAACACTACTTGATTTTTGGCTTTATAGTTATGTCAAGTCTGGAGAGTAACGCAATAATAGACTAATAGTCTTTGGTGCAGTTAAGGGACGACATTCGTCACGAAACCTCTTGAATCCATATCGATATGCTGCATGTTGCAGTTAATGTTGTTTTAACTCAAACGCAAACTCTAATTTGTGATGAAGGCAGACGTATAGAATAAGAGTGATGTTCTTATAAACATTTGCCTGCTTGCAAATAAATATAGTTTTCCTTGAAATGTGCTGAAGATTTACTCTCGTGTAGTACCTTCTATTAAAGAAAACTTTAACAATTTAAAAGCCCCTTTACAAGAATAACTTTTTCACAAACTGTGCTCAGTTCTTCCAGTTCCTTCAATTTTTATGAAGTTTTAAAATGTATACAGACATATGTGTATGTATGCGTGTGTGTGTATGTATGTATATGTATATACACTGAAGTGACAAAAGTCATGGGATACCTCCTAATATTTTGTCGGTCCTCCTTTTGCCTGGTGAAGTGCAGCAACTTGACGTGGCATGGACTCAACAAGTCGTTGGAAGTCCCCTGCAGAAATATTGAGCCATGCTGCCTCTATAGACGTCCATAATTGTGAACATGTTGACGGTGCAGGGTTTTGGGCACGAACTGACCTCTCCATGATGTCTCATAAATGTTCGATGGGATTCATGTCGGGCGATCTAGGTGGCCAGATCTTTGGCTGGAATTGTCCAGAATGTTCTTCTAACCAATCGCGAACAATTGTGGCCCCGGTGACATGGCGCATTGTCATTCACAAAAATCCCATCTCCAAGTAGCTGAAGGCATCCATTTTCAGTCAATGATCGGTTCAGTTGCACCAGAGGACCGAGTCCATGCCATGTAAAAACAGCCCAGACCATTATGGAACCACCACCAGCTTGAACAGTGCCTTGTTGACAACTTGGGTTCATGGCTTCGTGGGGTCTGCGCCACACTCGAACCCTAGCATCAGCTCTTACCAACTGAAATCGTGACTCATCTGACCAAGCAACGGTTTTCCATTTGTTTAGGGACCAACCGATATGCTCACGAGCCCATGAGAGTCGCTGCAGGCGATGTCATGCTGTCAGTAAAGGCACTCGAGTCGGTCGTCTGCTGGCATAGCCCAAGGAAGACAAATTTCGCCACACTGTCCTATCGGACACGTCCCTCGTACGTCCCACATTGATTTCTGTGGTTATTTGACGCAGTGTTGCTTGTCTGTGTACATTGACAACTCTACGCAGATGTCACTGGTCTCGGTCGTTAAGTGCGCTGTCCATGGTGGGATGTTATGCCTGAAATTAGATACTCTCGGCACACTCTTGACACTGTGGATCTCGGAATGTTGAATTCCCTAACGATATCTGAAATGGAATGACCCATGCGTCTAGCTCCAACTACCATTCCGCGTTCAAAGTCTGTTAATTCTCGTCATGCGGCCATAATCATGTGAAAGCCTCTTCACATGAATAACTTGAACACAAATAAAAGCCCTGCCAAAGCACTTCGCATTTATACATTTTCTGCGTGATACTACTGCCATCTGTATATTTGCATATTGCTATCCCATGACATTTGTCACGTCAGTGTATATATATATATAATTTTAAATAATACAAATAGAATCATTATAGTTGCCCAAATTAAGAGCATAAAGCATGTATTTTGTTCAATAATTTGATCATTCAATTTGTGAGTTTCAAACTTGCTTAAATATGTGCGAAAAAATATATTTTTCAAAACAAAGCAAACAAATTTTTTCCTTCATCCTTTTTTTTTTTTAAAACTAGCAGTGCAACATATAAATGCTCTTAGAAATTTATTCTGATCTTTTTGCTCAATGCAATTAAAATGTTGTTATGCATAAATTTCTGAAATGGTATAAGCTAATTTACTGCATTAAAAAATTGCTAATTCTGACTGCCGCAGAAGTTCAGTAAGCCTGTAAATTCTGGACTTTTGTCATATAAGATTAAAATTGTACAATGCTGTAAAACAGTTTTTATTTTGTGTTATTAAGCATTCTGAGTAATGTAAAAAGCTGTATGCAAAAATTCTGCAAACACATTTAATAAGTCAAACATATTAGTAAATAAATTTGTTCTTAATATAATTATATTTTATAAATTTTTCCTTTCATTATTGCCAGTGCATGAATCTTTCTGACTAGAAAAAAATTCAAATTCAGAAATTTGATTACCAGCTCCATAGCTTCCACTCCTGCCTCATTCCGAAATAAAAATTCTAAACAATATGAATGCTAATTAGTTTTCCCAAATAATTTCACTAATTCAATGCATTTAAAAAGATTTTTTTAATGCATTGTTTACGTTCCCAAGCAAGCCATGAAAATCGTATCTTTATTTTTTTTTAACCTGAAATGCTACCTTCA